ATTACACATACTTGAAGAAACAGCTTTAAAAGGAGACTTATTTTTACAGTGTCAGCAGTTACACTTCATGGTCACTGCTGCCATTTTTTCTGCATTGTCAGGAAAGAATACTAGGTTAAAAAGCTGTGAAGAAATTCTAAATCTTCCTATGATATCATGTATCTGGAGACTGTATTCAACAGTTTGAAACAGGAAGTATAGTTTCCAGTTTTATTTATGATTATAATTGTGAGTATGAGTGTGTGGGTATGGTATGCACATAGGAGAGAGGACAAGCTTCAGGAGCTGGTTCTCTCCCTTCACCTTGAACTCTGAGGATTGAATTCCCTAGGAGAACAACAGAGACACAGAAGTTCAACCTTTTACTTAAACTGTTAAACAGAAAAACCAAGGTTTGCACTGTAACTGCAAACATTTTACCCATTCTAATCTTTCAACAACTTTAAATTTAGTCTTATAAAATTTAATGAACTACTAGTGACTGGTTTCCTATATTGCCTTAATTTTAAATCATTAAATGACATAGGCTAATCAGTGAACTTAAAATTAGAGAACTAAAATAAAAAAGAAACAGAACCAATGCTTTGCCTTTAAATTTAGGTTCCTTGAGATATTCTTTTATATCTGTTGCCAAGTCCTTATCCTAAGAGTAATTACTAGCAATTACTCTCTGATTGCTATGTGCATGTCGGACATTATCATCACTCTAATTATAATACAGTTAGCCAAAGCTGAATGGTTAACTTTCCGTTCAATTAAATGTTTGTTTTGCAGCCTATTTATAGATATGACAGATGTATACTGCTCCAAGATAATGATGGAATTTGATACACTTTCCAGAACTGATATAAAACATACAAAAACACAAGAAAGAACAAATCAGACAATTTAGTAGGGTTTCAGCTGCTAACAGGATATAAGGGTAACTTGCTAAGGTTTGAAAAATCTGTCTGCCAAAACTCCCAATGAATAGCATTCTCAAAATTAATAACTGCTGATGAAGAATATTACAAAGTAATTCAAATTTATTTTGTGGAGAAAAACAGTGACAAATGAGTTCTCTGTTTTGATCAGGCCTCTTCTTATGGTGAACTATGCATAACACAAATGGTGTCCCGGACACCACTGTCAAGTGTGCTAGAAAGTGATACTGGTATGTTCAACAAGTGAGCACAATCACTATCCATTCCTGACACTTTCTCATCACCACAAATTGAAACCTTGTGCAAACAACTCTTCATTCTCTTCTCTATTCCACTGTTCTGTTTTGCTGATTTGTGTTAGTCAGGGCTGAGCCATTTTATAAAACTCCTCCATTTTGGATGAACTGTGACAATACAATAACCACAGTAATGTAACTCTTAAAAGTTAAGTAACTTGTCTCTCTAGGTTCTTGACTGCCCTCCCTGTAGACGGAGTAATGGTCAGTACCAATCCCTTCTTGGGACAGGGCTCTAATGGTACAATTACTTCATACCAGTGTACCACCGGAAAGTGTTCTAGTCGTGATAATAATGTTCCCAGAGATGGGCAATCTTGACCACTACCCATTCCTGGAACTCTTGCACATCCTACATGTCCCACTATCTCCCTACCATCCCCAGGGCCAGAATGTCCAGCAACTGAACCTCTAGAGGACAAATCACATCTAAAGCAGCTTATTTCCAGCTCCTAGCTTCTGCGAATACTGGGCTATAAGCATCTGAGTCTACTTTCCATGCATTTGGTAGCTATTCATTTGGTAATTCTGCTTACCTTTTAGAAACTGCCAGGACTTTACTCTAGCTGAAAGATTTGTAGTGACCACCAGAAATGACAAAAGCTCTAATTGTCCACATTTGCCAAGGCTTGCTTCTGTTCTTCTGATTACAACCACTATGGGGGCTGTGATGTAGGGGGGACCTATTTCACTGTAGTTTTCTTTTGCATTTCCATGAGAGCACTGGACAGCTTTCATTTACTTACGTCCTTTTGTATTATCTTCTTGGGGAAAATATCTATTCAAATAATTTGGTCTGCTTTTCATGTATGTTGCCTTTTTGTTGAGTTACAAGATTTTATATATTGTGGAAATATACCCTCATCATGAATGTAGCTCATTTGGTAGGTTATCTTTAACTCATGATAGTGTCCTTTGATGTACAAAACTTTTAAATTCTATTTCTATCTAACTTATTTTCCAATGGTTATCTAGTTTTGGCATCATATGGAGAAATCTAGTGGCCTAGATATTCATCTATGGGCTTTGCAGCTTAGTCACTTAAATTTGGTTGTATTTTTTAAATCCTCTTTGAAATCATTTCCATAGATGATATAAGTAAGAGTTAATCTAGTCTTTTTCAAACCCTTGTCAAGTTCTTCTTTATCAGTTAGTAAAGAGAAAGTGGTATTGGTAGTACAGTGATACCCACAGCTGTTCTCTGAAAGGAGAGCCTTTTACTTTTTACTGTTAGGTTTCTAAACCAATCTAATTTTTGTTTCTACCAGAATTTGAAGATAAAGCTCTAAATTACCGAAGACACCACACTTTTCTGACAAAGGATGTGGAGGAATCAACCTGGAACTGACCAGGAACTCTCTTCCCTGAGGAGTGGCTCTTATAGGATTGAATTGTGTTATTCAACCTGTGCAGGGACAGGAACAACTGGTAGTCCTGTCCAGCTGTGATGCCAATGAACCACAGCAATGGATGGGCTCACAGGATATCCACAGTGGTACAGTAGCAGTACTTTTACCTTTGGAGCAACCAGACAGCTATCTAACTGGACTTAAAGCTTGTTCACCAGGAAGGAATTCACCAGGAAGGAATGCCTGGTACTGTAAACCTAGCCAACTATCTATGGATAGGTTACAGACCTGAAAGAACCATAGACTGCTAGGTTCCCAAATCAATGTATTTTCTGGGTTTTTTGTTTTTGTTTTAAATACTCATCCTTGTATCCACAGAAAAGTGTACCTTTCACTCCTCATCAAAAGATTCATCTTGCACTGACTGCTCTTCCAGAGGTCCTGAGTTCAATTCCTAGCAACCACATGGTGGCTCACAACCATCTGTAACGGGATCTGATGCCCTCTCCTACTGTGTCTGAAGACAGCTACAGTGTACTCATACACATGAAATAAATAAAATAAATCTTAAAAAAAAAAAGGAACTTCTTAGAATGTTTCAAAATTATTGCAACTGTAAATAATTCCTAGGTTCAGTAAATTAACTTTATAATTTTTAAATTTTTCCAGAAATAAACCAGGTAACTGCTAGATTCAGAAGGCATAAAAATAGTAAGATTCTTTGAAACACTGGGTATACAGGGGTTTTGATTTGCTTTACCAAACTAATAGTCACAGAACTGTGCTTCTGTTTAAAGTGCATTGATCTGACCATGGGCACAGTGAAATGGTTAGCCAGAGACTCCTCTAGGGAGAGACTACAGAGAAAATCTACAAATACCAGACACAACTCCTTTAAGCTAAACAGGACTGACTTACTGATCATCTGTTTTGCTTTCTGAATTAACTTTTGTTTTCTTACATTAGCAATCGTTAAGTGAGCATCTATTTCTTATGCTCTTATAAGACATCATAATATGTCTTATAAGAAAGAATATCTTATTATAAAATTTGCTTTTTAATTATTATAAAATATAGATTAATCTTTATATATGATTAGTTTGATACCTTATGCTTCTGGCTTTATTTGGCTTACATTGTAAGACAAGCTTCTGAGTATACATGCAACCTCTATTTCACTTTTTATGTTTTCCATCTTAGGTACTTATATAGTTATACCATGTAACATATATACTGCCATGAGATATTGTAGAAACTGAGCATAATTTTCCCACATTTGAAATTCCAAATAGTAATGAATACTTAAGAAGTAAATTTTACAATCTGATTCGTCAAAATTACTAAGTAGGCATCCAATCCAGTCACTCGTCTGTAACATAAAAAAAATTACATCTTTGTTTTACAAATGCAACTATCAACCTTTTGCTTTTTCAAAGATATTTCCATTCCACATAAGCATTAGCTTTAATAATTTCTTCAAAGTAAAGAGAAAAGTGAACTCCATGAACTAATGGAGGGGAAAGTACATGAGAAAAATCAAGAAAAAGAGCGACTTCCTGCAAAGGAGCCTGCAGGACAATCCCTGGCAAACCTCTTCCAGCTCCCGGTATTTAGGCTGACAACATTCTTACCTGTATTTATCTTAGTTTCTTTACTTTTTAAAAGAGAATAACATTTATAAAAACCATAATTACTAACACTGTAAGTTCAACATTTCCACAATTACTGTTTGAAACCCAATACCTTCAAAGATGAATTCTAAGCTAATAACTATTAACATCTTTCCAGCAGGGTGAATAATTAATTATCTCTGCAGTTTCACATTAACTAGTACACTTCTCTATTACATTTATCATACTATATACCAACTACTTCTAAGTACTTCTACCTACCCTGCTATCCTGAGCACTCCATAAAATCAGATCAAACTCTAATTCCTTCTCCATCTTTAGTCTCATACAGCAGCTAGTGAAGAACAGATGCATGATACCTTTTTCTTATATGACTGACTAGACATAGTCTGTCCAATGGCAGCTGTCCCCTTTCCAAAATTTACAAAGTTATGTTTATTCTGAACTCCTCACACACGCACACAAATCTCAAGCAGTACTCTTATTTATAGGAAGATATGAATAATTATTATGCATTGTCCCTCAAACTGTCAACCCATATTTCAACAAAGTACAAAAAGATACAAAATTAAAATATCCTGGTGAGACACCTTAGTGATGCTTCCTTTTAACAAGCAGAAACTCAACGTAAGTAACTAAGGGAGTCAGAAACTCACCGATGGCAGCAGCCTTACCAGATAACTAGCAGGGTCAGGCCTAGGTTTGGGGTTTTAATTCCACATGGCTCACCTTTCACCCTATCAAGCAAAGACCTTTTAATAACCATTTTAACAAGTCAGCAGTTGCACTACAAATACTTACACTGACCCCAGCGCCCTGTTCTTGGGTTTAAATAATTTGGATAAAGACCATTTGGGCGTTCCATTTTCTGTAGTAGTTTCCGAATGTGCATGACCTAATCAAAATGAAATTAAGAATGGAATTAATAAAAACAGGTGTCATCAAGTTTCCATTAGTCTGTGGCTTTCCCGCCCTTGGAACCCGCAACCACCTTCTACCTTGTGTGTGGTGGTCAGGAAGGGCTTCTGCTCCTTAAACGATTTCTTAGTTTTATTTATGGATATGTTATTATTTAAAACTCAAACAATAATAGAAGTAGCAAATAAAAGAGACCAACACAAACCTCACCCATATATTCAAGATGTATCCCAGTATATATTAAAATACAAGAATAAAAGCAACTTCAGAGAAATGAAATCAAAACTTTCTGTGAGAAGTATTCATTTTGATTTAGTAAGTGATGAAGTAAATGAAGTAAAAATCAAACTGTTGAGTTTAGATGCTCTCAAAATAAAACATTCTTTAAATTCTTAAAGATCTCCCTGAGGTTAAGAAAGGGAAAAAAACAAAAAAAACAAAAAAAAACAAAAACCAAAAAACAAAAAACAAAAGAAAGCTAAGCGGTGGTGGCGCACGCTTAATCCCAGCACTTGGAGGCAGAGGCTGGCAGATTTCTGAGTTTGAGGCCAGCCTGGTCTACAAAGTGACTTCCAGGACAGCCAGGGCTACAGAGAAACCCTGTCTCGAAAAACCAAAGACCAGCCAGGCAGTGGTGGCGCACGTCTTTAATCCCAGTACTTGGGAGGCAG